TTCCAGCTTCTTCCACCCCGCCCGATAAACCTCAGACCACCGTTAACGACTCGCACTCGCAATGACGGACCTTAGCGACAATGCGCGTAGCTTTGGGGAGTAAGGCACGCTGGTCCATCGTCTTTCCAGATGTCTATCCGCATCCGCATAGCCTCAGCCGCACCTGGCTCAGCTGCATGTTCCATAACGACTACCAATGAGACGGTCTCAATACGGTCGTGCAACCACACTGGGGGCCATTTCCAAGACCGCCACCACTATTGAGGCGTCACTCGTCGCGGTACAGCAGTTCCATAATACGCATGCTCGCCCCACGCAAGACCCTCGGTCCTGTCGGCCTACTTGTTATTGTCAGATCAATTGAGACTCCGCCCAAGTGCAAATGGATGATGACTCCCGAAAACCTTCGCAGGTACCTCTGCTGCCGCCTTTGACTGTAGGAGATGAGCGTTTCAGCGACACTCTGCCGTCCTCTATGTTGCAGCACCGCGTCCGCACAGAGTCACCTCCGCCACTCGAATCCAGGGAAAGCGAGTCTGTTGAGTCAAAGAATGGTGGCAGGCTATACTTTGAGTACGATTCTACTCGCAATACTATGCGGTCGATGCTGATGGTCTAGCGATGCCGGAATGCACATCATCGGCCCTGCTGGTAACGTCACTTCGAAGCCTAAGTCGCTCCTTTCGCTGCTACGAGGGTTGAAGAAGCTTCCAGGCACTCTCGATACCCGGCTGACGCGATGGATTCGAGGCAGTCGCTTCCATGGGTGGCGGATGGGTGTCTTGCTTGGATGCTGCATGTCGTCCTTCGTCCTCTGCTGCAATATAGCCATGATCGTCGTCGCAGCCGCCAGTAAAACTGGCGACCATGTTGGAGGGATAGCTAACCTGAAGATTGGTGATGAAGCTATCATCTCGCAATGGAATACCGCGTTGCACGTGCTGATTAACGCGCTCAGCACGATGTTACTCGCCGGCTCGAACTACACTATGCAAGTTCTGAGTTCACCAACCAGGCAAGATGTTGATGCCGCGCATGCTCGTGGACAGTGGCTCGACATCGGCGTTCTTAGCCCTCGCAACCTTAGGCTCATACCTCGGAAACGTGCTGCACTTTGGTACACGTTGGCGCTATCTTCTGTACCTCTACATTTATTGTGTGCAACCCTCACCCAAGAAATGATGCATTGACTAACGAACTCCAGTTACAATGCCTCGATCTTCAAAGTCGTCACGTCAAGTGAATATCGAATCTTGACTGTAGACGTCGCGTCAGACGAGTGGAATCGTATCAATTCCACTACTGACGTGGGAAAATCGACCAACGGCACATATTGGAATCTCGGCGGCGGAAAATGGACAACCGTGTACGACAACGAATATATATCGGTACATGGCGATTTGTATCTTGCAATAGACCGGGTAGCCTTTGATACCCTACAAACTGAAATAAACTCCGAAGCGATAAACATCACACCAAGATACCTGGACTACAACGTCACTGGGAACCAATCAACCTTACGGGATCTCACGTCGGAGTCGGCATCATGGATAACATTTCGATCTCAGCCAGAGCCCACGATCCAGTGGATGAGCATTTCAGCTCATGTAGTGCAAGCTGCAGGAGAGAAGAGGAAGAGCCCACCCAGTAGAGTTCAAGTCAGCTTGTACTTCTTGATCATCGTCGCGGTCTTCAATCTACTCAAGCTCAGCGTCATGGCCTATGTCCTCATCACCGACCGTTCGGCGTATCTAGTCACATTGGGAGATGCCGCGGCCTCCTTCCTAGAACATCCCGATCGTCATACTACGGGAATCTGTGCTCTCGGTCGAGAAGAGCTACTGATCACCATGGGCCATCCGTCCAACCGACCCTTCTCTACCCCCGAGGAAAAGATAGACTTGGATTCGCGCGTAAAGGGTGCATGGCTATCAAGGTCACAGGCATACTTCGCTCCGGTCCATCGCTCAGCAAAGGTGCTATATACTTTCTTGTATGTGACTTCCTTTTGCCTTTAAATCGGCACTAATCCGTCAGGTTGCTTTTCGTCGTCCTCACATTGGCATTGGGTCCACTATACACATCAAGTGGCCACTGGGGCTGGGGTATCGGATCAGACGACAATGTACCCTTTGGATCTGATGGGACCACAGCTACCGCTACCTTGTGGAATGCGTGGCTTGCCAATGTGCCACAACTGATACTATCCTTCTTCTACCTTTCGGTCAACATGATCTGTACCGCCATGTCCGGAGCCAACGAATGGAACCATCTAGCAAAGTCCCAAAAGGGATTGAGAGTTACCAAACCTTTTGGCGATCAGCGGAGCACTTACTTTCTGCAACTACCCTACAGATGGAGTCTTCCACTCATCGTCACCAGTGGAACGCTTCATTGGCTGTTGTCGCAAACCTTCTTTCTTGTGCGTGCTGACTTCTACGATCGCTACGGGGTGATGCTCGAAGGCGCCACGAAGTCTGCATGTGGATTCTCTGCACTCAGTCTATACGTGTTGCTATTTGCTGCACTCTCACTACTTGGCGTCGTATTTTTCATCGGAGTCAAGAGAATGGCGGTGAAGGTGCCAACCGCGGGATCCTGCAGCCTCGTCATAAGCGCCGCTTGTCACCCGCCGCCTGGCCAAGTTGACATCCACTTGGCTAGAGTTCAATGGGGTGTTGTTCCGTTCCAGTATGTAGAGGGCTTCCTACACTGTTCGCTCTCATCTACAATTGTGACTGAACCGATGGAGCGGACTGTTTATCGTTGAATATGATTGTATCTTGGTTACCAGGATACAACATCACTTCAAATGCGAGAGAATGGAACACCGGAGATCGAGCCATTACAGAATACTACTGCACGTCAACCGAGGGAAAAACTGAACAGGTCTGCAACATATGTTATTGTGATAACAGCCTACATCAACATGGAAACATGCAAAGTGGGTGAGCTAACGTCGATGTATGCCCCCAGGCCCGTTCGGCCGTTTTCTTGTATGAGAGGTGACTGGGCGCTCAAGTATACCAAGTAGCCTCAGGAATCTCATCCAACAACTCAAACCTCCCCAACTCGCGATTCTTATACGCCACAGGATCATGCAACGTATGTGTTCTAACATCCCTCCAAAACCGATCCAAGCCTACTTTCGCACTCGTCGCTTTCGCTCCTGTGACCTCAAACACCCCAGACGTAACCCGCAGGCTCGTATCCGTTGTAACGACCTTGACACTTGCAACCCATTCCGCCAGCTCACCCCGCTCTCGCGCAGTCAGCTTCCCTCGGGTATCCAGATCGCCTGCATATTTATTGAGGACGGCATCGACTTCTTGGCCTGCGCGGTCTGCAAGGGCAGATGCGGCACGGAGGTGGGCGTGGAAGTTTCCGTAGCGTTCGAGGATGTAGAATTCGTCTGTGGCTTTCTCCTTGTTCTGATTATGCGTTAATGTGGTGTACTGGTTCGGAGGCTGTGGATGTGCTTACGTCGCCACCGAATGGCCATGCCCGAGTTCCCTTCACTGTATATTTCGCTGCATGTTGCTGTGCGCCGAGCGCAATACCAAGATAGAAGTTGCTGAAGACGAGCTGGATGGTGGGGAGCAGCAGCGTCGCGAACGGTATCTGTAGTGCGCGCGGGTCTGGTTCTTTCTTCTCGACGTTCCAACCCAGCGCATCCTCCCAGGGTACGCGCACATTGGAGATCTTCACACTGCCCGACTCCGTCAAGCGGAGACCGATGTTGTTCCAATCATGTCCGAATTGAACACCAGGTTGATCCGTCTTTGCGAAAGCGAAGATGTGGTTCTCGGTGCCTTCGTATACGCCTTCGAGGACGGTGAGATCGGAGACTACACCGCCTGTGTTGAAGAACTTGAAGCCGTTGAAGACGAGGTTGTTGCCGTCGGACTTGATAGATAGGTCGCTGTCGCGGGGATTGACGGCGCCGCCAATGAAGTAGTTGTTCGAGATTATAAGCTTTTGGATGCGGTCGGCTTGTTCGGGTGAGCCAACGATGTTCGCTGTGGTTGACCAGAGGAGGTGGTAGCCGAGTAGCATGCCGATTGACCTAGGACAGTTAGTATACATATGCGTACGGGGAGGGGAAGACCTTACCCGTCTGCTTCGGCGACCTTCCGAATCGCCTTGTAGCCCACGCTCCAAGGCTGACCACCGCCACCATACTGCTTTGGACCAAGGAGCTTCAGTAATCCAGAGTGTTTGAGTAGTGCAACTTCCGCACGTGGAGACTTGTTCTCTTGATCTCGTATGACGGCATCGACGGCGAGAACATCGGCTACATCTTGAGCACGCTGGAGCCAGCCTGCTTCGTCTTCCGGAATAGAAGACCACTTCGTCTCATACTCAGCATAGACAGCCGGGTCTCTGAAGTCGACTTGCTGCGCATTTCCGGACTCGCTGTTAGTACCATTCGTCATGGCCATCGTGTAGATGGATAGAATGATGACATCTCGAGATCTCGATCACGATCTTATATTTAAACCCCGCAGAACATCCCTCGGAATGATGAGAATCACGCAGGGTATTGCGTGCTATTTGTTCATTCTTGAGCCATTCGCATTGGTGCGCATGAACACCTGAGTAGGTTTACGATGGTGATGAGAACGACCGGAGAGACAGGGATATACCGCCGACATGGTGAATGTTGAGTTGTCTGCCGATAGGCAGGTGTAGCTAGGAATAGTCCGATACTGTGGGGGCGTAGATTTCGCAAAGCAGTGTCGGTACAGCATGTGAACGTGAAAGTTGGAGAGTGAGACGCGTCGGCGGACCGCACCTGCATCATCCCATTTGTGCTAACCCAGAACGAGACTAGTCTGCAACCCGTGCGCACGTCCGAACGCGAACCGCGTTCGCCATCTAACCCCTCAATCGCATCATTCCCAACTCCGCACCATCACGGCCCATCACAATGTCCAGCAGACTGCGCACCTCCGAGACACCTTCCGTGAACAGCATGCGAGCCTTCCGTTGCCTGTAGATTATTCCGCCTTTCTCTTCGCGAAGAACCGGGAAGTGTCGCCGAGTGGTAGCTCAACGATGGAGTCTTTGAGCAGCAACGCGAACGTCAGATACCACCCGGTCAATCCAGCCAAGAAACAGAACGCACCGCCGCCTTTCTTGAGAGCGACGGACGAGGTCGGGTGTCCATCTGCCGTGGCAAAATAAGACGCCGACACTAGCAAGAATCCCAGCTCGACACAAAAGAAGATGATGATGTAGACCAGGTTTGTCGGCAACGAGGCCACGAGGAATACCAAGGCGAAGACCGTCCACACTGTTACAAATTTAGTTGCGCTTTCACCACTTGTCGGTCTTGAGTAACTCACTGATCATGAAGAACCCGAGAGCGTTGTTGTATTGCTTCACATCGCCTCCATACGCTGCCTCAATCCCGAAGGCAGGGGTCAAGATCGCACCAAAACCGGCATAGAACAAGCCAAAAGCGCTGAAGACTGTATAGGCAAATCCATTGCCAACGGACAGCTCCCACTGTGCGGTAATTACCAGGCCTAGGATCCAGTCAGTCAAACCATACATACATCGTACATTCCGGTAACTTGCCGAATGCCGCCGCAAAGAAGAAGTTGGCGACGAAGACATTGTTTGTGGTCACTCCTCGCCATTCCATGAGACTGAGCGACAGCGTGGTCAACGTCGTCGCGAAGACCCCGATTGGAAGCGCCGTCTTGACACGTTAGCAATGGGGTATAATGTAGTGGAAGCATCACTAACTCCAGCTCCCAAGGTCTTTGGAGCTGCGATTGGCACGGTTGGAGACTCATGGGTGAGTTGCTTCTCGACGTCGGTCGTGCCAGCGCTGCTTTTGCTGTTCAAGTCGGTCGTTGAGAATTTGGACATGATTGTCTGCGTGCACAAAATGCTTCATGCAAGGTGCCGACTCTGATCCACATCCTTTTGTACTGAATCGTCATGAGCTCCCATGTTGAGAAAGACCACGTCGACGCGGGACGACGGCGATGTCGGTATGTTACCATTGCGACCGTGTGAGGGCAAATTACGTGCTTCGGCCTTATTTTCAGTGCTGAGTAGCGTTCACATGGTCGTGTCGGGACAATGCCATAGTGTTGTAGTCGAAGCTTGCTAACCTGGCCGATCTTGGTGTGGGGTATGCGGTGCTTGAGTATCTTGCTGCAAGTTACGGCACATCACGTCTTCGGAGTTTTGAATTGCCACATCGACCAATAGACCGAAGCTTGTAAGCAGCCAATTGAGATTGCCGGGCTCGCGAAGTTGCCGCAAGATCATGCACCACAGCTTGTCATGAGCGAAGCCGAGATGTTGAGCTGCGATATAGAAGTTGACCAGCTGGCCTAGGCAAGATCGGCGGCAAGCCGGCTGCAATCAAGGTGAATGTCATCTAGTCTACGTACCGGGTCTAATTTACGGCAATCCCGCAAATCCCGCGTTCAGATGACTGCATATCACGCAATCCACGCTTGTTATGCGCATATCTGATCTGCAATTGAACCCCAGGTCGATCTTGCGGGGCATCATAGTACGGGTACTCGCCTCACATACCTCCGTGTCTTCAAACTTACATTCTATTGTATTCCTCCAAACAATCATGACGCCGCGCAAGAGACAAAGGACAGGTGAGGTTATGCGGAGACTACGGCTATCAAGAACGTGTGGGGCTGATAAGTTGTTCAGCAGCAGCAGAGAATGGCACGACGAATGGCACGACGAATGGCACGACGAATGGCACCAATGGACACCTGAACAAGACAGCGGAAGATTACACGCCCGCAAAGCAACTGGACCTGAACCAAGATCCCGATCGCCTATTGTTCGCGTAAGCAGTCTCCCAAGGACCGCCATTTACCGCATCTCCTAACCTTGCGACAAAATAGTTACTGGGTCCCGAACGTCTCAGGCGGTCTCGTTGTCTCAAAGATTGCCCAGCGGACGAGTTGGGACCTTGCATCCAACGTACGATACGCCCGGACGGCCGAAGCCTACGGCTTCGAGTATGCGCTCACCCAGATTCGATTCACCGCATCGTATGGAGCCGACAACCAGCACGAAAGTGTATCATTGTCTCAGGCGCTGTTGCACAACACCGAGCGCATCAAGCTCATCGCTGCAATACTTCCCGGCCCATGGAACCCCACTGTCGCCGCAAAGCAAATCGCAAGCATCGACAACTACACCAATGGGCGCATTGCGGTAAACATTGTCTCCGGCTGGAACAAGAGTGAATTCCAGAGCATCGGGCAATGGTGGCTCGAGCATGCCGAGCGCTATCGACGCTCCAATGAGTTCATCCGCGCACTCAAGGGCATTTGGACCGCTGGTGACGAGGGCTTCACTTTCGGCGGCGACTTCTACCAATTCCGGAACTACAAGTTATCACCCAAACCACTCCAGAAGCCGCACCCGGAGATCTTCCAAGGCGGCAACAGCGACGACGCTCGGAACAATGGCGCTGAAGTCAGTGATTGGTACTTCATGAACGGCAACGATCTGGATGGCTTCCGCGAGCAGATCGAGGATGTGAAAGAGCGTGCGCGAAAAGCTGGGCGTGAGGGCAAAGTCAAATTCGCGGTGAATGGCTTCGTCATCATCCGTGAGACGGAAGAGGAAGCTATCCGCTTGCTGAAAGAGATTCAAGGGAAAGCCGACACGGAGGCCGTTGAGGCGTTTCGAGAAGCAGTACAACAGGCCGGTGCTAGCACAGGGAATAGGAAGGGAATGTGGGCGGACAGCAAGCTGGAAGACTTGGTGCAGTACAACGACGGCTTCAAGACCAAGTTGATTGGTACTAAAGAGCAAATCGCCGATCGGATACTCCTACTCAAGAGTCTGGGCGTTGACTTGGTGCTGACTGCCCACTTGCACTACGAGGAGGACATCGAGCGCTTTGGCAAGGAAGTATTGCCGTTAGTAAGGAAGTTGGAAGCTGCAGGTAGAGGCAATGATGTCGACGACGAGATCAAGCGTACAGGCGACATTTATCGGAAGTCGTAATTGTCATGCAGCGGTGTAAACTATCTGCAATCTCTCTCCACCCGCCTCTCTCCCACTATGCATGCACTTATACAAGGTTGGGAAACGTCTGAGCCGCCGCAATACCCAAAGCCTTAGCACTCCCCTGCTTCACAACCCCAAACGTGTCTTCGTTCGTCCAGAACTCAAAGTCCGCCGCGCCTTTCCCCGGCTTATTAATCTGCCAAATCATCCACGGCACCTTGAGCCCATTGAAAATGTCGATATGCTGACCCACCACGCTCGCCTTGTTGGAACCAGACGCGCCGAACTCTTCGAACAGCACGAGTTTCTTAGCGGCTTGGGCGTGCTGCAGTGCGATGGGCGCTTTGTTGCGCCATTCAGATACGCCGCTGTAGGAGTGAATGTCGACGAGATCGAGGGTGGCGCAGTTCCAGTTCTCGGGGATGTCGGAATTGGGGAATTCGTTTCCGCCGCCTAAACATGGATAATCAGCATCGGTGTCTCTGCGTTTGAAGTAGTGCGAAGTGGGTTGTAGACCACGTACCTGTGGAGATAAGAATGGAGCTGCTGCCCATTATGCTTCGCATCTTCTTGCTTCGATTGCACCACCATTCAGGTGCAGGCGCGATGTTGTTGCGCAGATGCCCCTGTCCCTCGTTCTGGATGTTGAACGAGAAGATATAGTCTGACAGATCCTTCCATTGCGGTGAACCCGAGAGCAACGGGTTCCTGTGTTGGAGGATATGTGTGAGGCGGTTGTCGAAGTCGAAGATGGGCGATGCGTCCTGGTAGAAGAACGTCACGTCGTTCTGAGCGGCGGGCGTCCTCGCGCAGTCGATGGCTGGGAGTTTGTACTTCGATACGTATGTATCTGTGACACACACGTTAGTGTTACTGACAACTACGATTCGGACTGGAAGCGAGCATACCATTACCCCAGCATCCCAGTTGATAGCGATCATGCATAGCGATGATGAGTTTGATACCTCGGTCATGCGCCTCGACCATCAGCTGATCAATGGCCTTCAGCTGGGTGTCGTCGTATGTGCCAACTTGCTGTGGCTCGATATCGGGCATGTTGACTGAGCCAGTGTCCTTGTTGTTCTGAGACGTGGGCGAGATGAAGATACGCAGCGTCTTGAGCTTCGCATCTTTGACCGCGTCAAGTACAGCCAAGCGATCAGCCCTGTGGATGGTGAGTATATGCACGAGAAGTTCTAAGGTGTGCGTACTTCTGGTAGGCATGAAGGAAGTACGAGTTGACCCCAGCCCAACTCGAGGAGATAGCTCTCTCATCGAGTGGTTGCGCCGCCGAGAAAGGTGCGCTCAAGGCGAGCGGAAGAAGGAACTTGAGAAGCTGCATGTTGACTGTGTTCGATGCGAAGATGCTTTGATGGCCGTCCTTCTTTCGAGAAATCTGCTCTTTCTTATGCTTCTTCGTTTCGTGCCTTTAACCTAGCGTCTTCAACCTTCGATGTGTGACCTTCTGTCTTTGGACTTGGTCTGCAACCTTCTCTTTGCTACATGATGTCCTCCACCTTGCATTGTTCGCGCACTCCGACTCTATCTTCTCCACTCTATGTTGAAACCCAATCTTGTAGTGAGAGGAAATCTAGAACTAAGGCCCAAAAAGGTTGTGCGAGTGCGGAGCAGCCAGAACCGTGCCAGATAGGATTAGTACATCTGTACTCCGTACCAGCACGCTAGCCTTGTGAAGGACGGAACCCGATCGCCCGTGTCACATCTAGATTAGCGGATATACAAGGCTCGCTCGTGTTGTAAAACAATCCCTAGCAATCCTCGGAGTGACGTTCTTTAGTATAGAGCGGACCGGACTGCGGGTAGGCCCAGAACTCGAATGTATGATCGACATTTGAGGGGAAATGAATGGCGTACTAACGTTCACGGCTGTCGGCTGTCGGAAGTACATGTAGTGCCGAGGCATCGGAGTCTCCGAGCCTTCTTGTCCCTGGAGTCGCGGGGGCATTGAACAACATTGCTCTCTGGACATATGATCTCTCGCCGAAACATAACTGTCGCATAGCTTCCAATCCGAGGTAGTCGTTCTGCAGCGCGGTCGCAATATGGTTGAAATTCTGCGTGTACTGCCAGCAACCGTACGAAGGGTCCAGTCAATGTCTTCCAACCCAACGTAGACGGGTGCAAGGCCAATGAAGTTTTTGTCTAGCTTCATTAGCCGTAGCCCCTCCGAGCATGTAGGGGCACCGATGATGCCTGACCATGCTGAGCAGCCATGCATCAGCGACGGATCACGATCATGTCGTGGTCCCACTGGCTTCCCAGCCTCCCATGTCCCCTGGAATAGGTCCGCATGGGCGTATCAATGTTTTGGCCACATGTACCAAGCGGTGTAAACATTGCGACGCTGTGGTTGGGTCACCTGTTTACAGCCCAAACTACATGATGCCTGCAGGGTCCCAGGCAGATGTCGGAAGTTGCTCGTCGCCCTTTGAACATGTGTACGGATACAACAGAGACTGTTAGAGTATCCCGATTGCTATGAGACCGGCCAACAGCTCGACACCGCCAGTTGTTGCGTCAAGCTTATAAGTGATGAACGTTCGAGACCGCGGCGAGCACGAGGAAGCCGAATGATATAGCAAGAGCGCATCGACGGAGGAGATGATGGGGACATGACTGCAGTCGTGATGAGGCGAGATCCATCGACGGAACAGGGAATCGTAGAAGCCGGCGCCCTGAAGAGAGGCGAACATTCAAGCAGCGCGTTGCGTGTGGATGTTGAGGGCGTCGTACGCGTGGAAGCGCGCAGGTGGGCGGGCCGAGGCGCATTCGTGGCTTAATTCCGGGCAGGCTGCAAGCTTATCTCCGGGCGGGTGGCTGCATCGCCGCGAGCCTCAAGCCTCCAC